GGAGCTCAAGTGCGTGAGCAACTACGACAAGATCGAGGTGCTGGACTACATGCCCCGATTCATGGACACCTTCTGGAAAATGGACACCCGCCTGAGCGGATCCATGGTCAATGGCCTCTGGATGCTCAACCATTCCAACTACAACAAGGGACTGGCCTTCACGCTGAACGAACGGCGAGTGCTGTCCATTCACGGACTACTTCCGGTGGCAGTGCGAACGATCGAAGAGCAGCTGGATGCCTGCAAAAACCTCATCCAATCATTTACCACCAGCGTGCAGCGGTATATATATCTGACCTATCTCTCCCGTCGGAATAGGCGACTATTCTACTACCTGCTGCTTTCAAATCCCGATCGCTATGTGCCCATGACAGATGTCTCCGGCTCGTTGGAGCTGCTCAGCATCCACAGAATGCTGTACTCGATGGGCCAGGGCCTGTACATTTGCATTAAGGATCTGGGGCACGTTTCACAAATCCTGGCCAACTGGCCGCACCGCTGTGTTCGCTGCCTGCTGGTGAGCAATGGCGCCTCCGTTCTGAGTGTGGGTGATTTGGGTGTGGATGAGATGCCCGTGCTGTTCTCCAGCCTGCATCAGAATGTGGTCTTCGGGGGCATCCATCCGGCTTATTGTTTGCCCGTGATGCTGGATGTGGGCACCAACAACGAGGAACTGTTGCAAGATCCAATGTATACGGGCCTGCGGGAGCCTCGTGCCTCGGAAGAACTGTACGACCAGTTGTTTGAGGAATTCTCGCTGTCCGTAATGCAGCAGTATGGATCACGTGCCCTGATCCTGTGCAAGGACTTTGAGGCCCAGAAGGCCAAGAAGCAGTTGGAGCTATACCGCGCCCGCCAGTGCATCGTGGACGTGGACTTCCAGTGCCTGGCTGCAGTTGCTCTAGCCGGAGTGATTGTCTGCAACCGACTGAAGCGAGCCTTCTTCTCCTCCAACGTATTCCTGTTCTACGGAGCCGAGGCCATAAACATTGGCATGGCTCGATTGTGTATGGTCCTGCTGAAACGTGAGGGCCTCATCGAAATGAAGGCCAGGGAGAAGATTTGGTTCTTCGATGCCAACGGACTGATAATAATGGGCAGGAAGGACATACCCGAAGAGCTGCTGGAATTTGCCAACCCCCGGGCTCCGATCCTCGACCTGGTGGAGGCCATTCACGAGCTGAGGCCCAACGTCCTGGTGGGCGGCTCGTCACAGCCGAATACCTTTACCCCCGATGTCCTGCGCGCCATGGAGCGGAGCTCTGATCAACCTGTGATATTTGCCTTATCGCGACCCCTGGAACAAGCCGAGTGCTCTGCGGAGGATGCCTTTTCCTACACCAAGGGTCGATGCATCTTCATCTCGGGAACGAAGCTTCCCCCGCTAAAATATGCCAACAAGTGGTATCAGCCGGGGCACTGCACCAGTAGTTATTTGGTGGCTGGAATAAGTTGCGGCGTGATACTGGCCGGATTCACCACCATTCCGGATGAGGCATTCTGCGTGGCCGCCGAGCGATTGGCCAGCTTGGTCTGGCCCTGTGACCTGGAGAAGCGAAACGTCTATCCGCCGATGAGGAAGATCCAGTGCATCAGCCTGCAGATGGCCGAGGCCATTTTCACGTACGCCTTCAGACGCGGATTGGCCACCTTGTGGCCGCAGCCGGAAAACCCAATGGAATACATCAAGCACTCGCTCTACAACCCGGAGTACCGAATGAACATCGTTGACGTTTACTGCATGCAAAACCGTAGTATCGCCACCACGGAATCCCGCAAGTACTACACCCTTAACATCTAGGACCTGTACTTACGTGGCGACCATTATTAAACGAACTAAACCAGAGGGCCGAAAGCTGGGATTATGGCCCAGTAACTGGGGGCCAAATTGCATGGCATATCATGTCTAATAACAGTTGTTTGCCCAGTCTGCATATTGATTTCGATTCGAACCAAAGTCGGAGTACAAGTACGCCAGCGGGCAATTAATTGCATGCAATTTTCATGTGTCAACTCATGCTGTGTGGCTATACTCGTATGTATGTATATACATGTACGTACGACATGGTCTATGGTTGCATGTGTGGGTGGGCGCATGTTTTGGGATGGGTTTTAGAATTCTCGGGGGACTGCATTCGAAACTATCGCAGTACGACAATAAAATAATTGAAACAACCACCATGAAATGGCAGGAAACATAGCCACAGCAAAAATGCAGACAAATTAAATTGCTCGTGTGTCTGAGTGTGCATGTGTGTGTCTGAGTGTGCCTGTGTGTGTGTGTGTACTCCTGGCTTTGACAGGTGTGCGTCTGAGCGAAAGCAGCGATATTCCATTCCATTTATCAATAGGGAAAATGAAATGCAGCCCGGCATTGTGTCGGTTTGCTCTTTGTCATATTGAATTATTTGCTTAGGTTTTTTACTGCACTTTCCGGCTAACGTTTATCAGTTGGCCTTTTGGCACGAGTGGAGTTCCCGGCTGCAGTTTTCAAAAGCCACATATTTTTGTACAAGCCAATACAACTGGACTGTCCCAAGTCGTTTTAGCTTCACCGCAAAGTTTTATTGGCCCTAACTCGAAGGAAATGGCTCACACTGCGTTGGGACCCCACGAGATGACTTCATAGCCAATGGTTTTCAGATCCTGGGCATCGATGGCGTGTCGCGAGAGTTCTTGCACCACGCTCCGAACATTGGTGGTGTTCTGAAATCAGGCAAATTGGGGAAGTTTAAAGGAAGGAAAACATTTGGTTAGGATGACCATAAACTAGCAGAAAGTAAAGATTCTTGCAGCTATACAAGCAATTTCTTAATGTTTTGCACATACTTTGAAATGGAATACACTACTTGTGGCAAGATATTATTATCTCCAGAATATTTGTAGCCAAAGAGCCACTTTCTTACCCATGCTGCCTCGGATTTCGCCTTGAATTCTGCACTTTTCAGAGCCCGATAGAACTTGGCGAATATAGCACTCTTCTGCCGCTTCTCATTGATCAGGGCCACAAATCGATCACGGGGCAAATGCGTCAGAATTTCCTGCACGAAACTGGTGAAGGAACTCAACTGCCTGACCTCTGAACGCGATTCAAATAGCACCAAAACAATCTGCTCCCTAAGGTCATAATGCGCCGACCTGCGAAGCCTGTTGTATGTGTTGTTTCGATGCCAGTACTTTTCCACAGTACTTTGGGTCGTGTCGTTGAGGTGCACAAAGTTAATCAGATCCACCACTTCTGGCAGAGACTCAATGTGCTGCTGCAGCCTCTTGAAATCGGAGCTGCGCAAAAACTTAATGGCTTTGCGGAATCCGGAGTCCGTAATCATATGCTCGGCAACTACTTCGTCGATGGTCACTGTGGGAATCAGCTTTTCAAAGTCTTTCAGCTCGGCCATCAGCTCCGGGGAGTACTTGTACCTTCTGTGATAGCGAAAGCTTCCCGAGACCAGCACCAAACTTAGGAGCAGGAACTGCAGCATCAGTCTAAAAGTCCTCATATTTGCTGCTTTTTTACTGGTTCATATATTGTGATGATGAATGCGACTCGCTCAGCGGTTTGTTTAATACTACTCAAAAAAATTGTAAATGAGATTAAAATTTGCGTATGGCATACATAGCCGTACTGCATATGTAATCATACTGCTCTCACTCTTTTAAATTGGGCTTAGCCCACTATGATGAAGCGTTTGTCGCAGGGCATACTAAGTTGAATTATTATTATGTTTGATTTGTCCTATACTTCTCCTACTTTGTTATATGTCTAGAAGTAATTAACTCTTTGAGCACTTTCTTCAGGTACTTACCGATTAAATCAAAAGGGTATCAGAGAGTCGACAAGTTGAACAAAATGTGTATTTCAAGACTCTCTTCTTATCGCTGATCTTATGCTCTTCAAACCACTTCTAGTTCGAAATGAATAAAGATTGTGTTTCATGAGCATTCGAAGTCGAATTCGACTAAGAACAGCTTCCTTTGTTGCCTCTTTACAGTCGCCTCCCGAAATAAAAGACCACACTAGCTTCAGTTTTGCTTATTAAAGAATCTTATCACATTTATTTACTGCATTTTACTTTTTATGTGTTTACACCTAATTTGTTTTCATAATTTCTTCTTTTATTCTGATCTTGTTGTTCTCCGGAATTATTTCGATAGCTCGTGAATCTGCGTTTGAAATGATTCAAATGGAACCTTGAACTTGGTATATTCGAATGATGGTTAAGCGCAAATCTTCTTTTATTGTAAGAATACTTTGTAAAAGTCGTTTATCTATTTATGTATATATATATTACCGCGAATATTTATTTACTTTGTATTAATATTTTTACAGTGAACTTTTCGTTAATTACTCAATTAATATTTATTTCAATTCTTAATTGCCGCAACAGCAATTGGTTTCATATATATTTTTTTTTTGAGAGTGTCCATTTAATTTCCTCCTTTGCTTTGTTTTTGTTATATTTTTTACTCAACATCATGTGATTGTCATACAAAACATTTCACATAATCTTTAAATTATTTACAATAATCGTCCAAACAAAAAAATACTACTAAACGCAACCAAAAACATTTCATCCATTAAAGTTAGAAGCTCAGAGCATTAGTAGCTTTTAAATATCTGTTGTTTAATAGTTATTTTTCTGTGGTTTCGGCTTATTTCATTTACAATGGCAATGACAATGACAGTGTGCATTGTTAAAATGTTTTTTTTTTTTATATTTTCTTTATGTTGTCCTAAGATGAAAACATTAAAAACTTTTGCAGAGAAAATCCTTAGAAAAATATTTAGAGTGTGTGTGGGTGAGAATAATGCTGAAGATTTTCGTTCCATTATCCCCATGTTTTTCTGTTTTTTTTTTTTTGTTGAACAAACCTATTTTAGATTCGGGCTGAGTGAAGCGTTTGGGTTTTCCTTGACTTTTTCTTTTTTATGGCAGTTTTCGCGGTTATAAATATGTTTACTAAATGCAACGAGTCGTGTTTGAGTTTTTCTTTTTTTTTTGTTTTGTTTTGGTGAGAATGAATTTCTGCAATATTACTAAAAAAAAAGTAATTGCCACACCAACTTACCTACGATAAGTACGGGTAAGTAACCATGAGCATGTTGGTCTCAATGCAGTAACTTCATGTGTCTATATTTATTTATAATTACGCATATGCATATATAACTATGTATTGCTTATCGTAAACATTAGGCCAACGCACAATCTATACAAGAGCGAGTTAATGCCGAATAGAGAACTTCAAATCATAATCGGAGCCGAGTAAAAATCAAACCTAAGCTGGTTCATACTTATCGTCTAAAGCTCTTCTATGTACAAGTCGCCCTAAGCTATATATGTACGTCCATATCCATATAGACGTTCATGCTGTGCGTCAATTGTTTTTCCGAAACTTTATTTCGGTTTCTGGGTTTGGCTATCGTATTAGGTTGGTTCGGTACTTGTCTATGACCTAAACAGGGACTGCTAATCGTGTATATATCTTACGCTAGTTTAGTCGAACAAATATGGCTAAGTAATATACAAATTCGTTTAAGATCTTCCCAACCCCAAACCCGAAATGGCCAAGCGACGAGTTGCCGGAAACTGAACCAAATGGAAAACATAATCGAATCGTTGCGCCTCACGAGCTTGGTAAATACATTGCCTTAGGTCAGATTCTCACTTAGGTGGTTGCAGTTCCATCTGTATCTGTATCTGTATCTCAATCATAATCTGTATCTGTCTCTGTTTCGGTTTCTGTAGCTTTTTCCATATCCATATCTGTATGCGTATCGTTAGATTACCTTAACCTTAGCTCGAAATAGAAATAGTTTCTTCTGTAGGTGTGTCTTTGTGTGAGTGTAAAACCGTAATTTCCCTTTGACTTATGGCAGGATCCTTTTGCTAGTAACTTTTCTCGTTTACTCCATCTTTGTATATCAGTTAGTTAATGTCGAAAATTATTCAGTTTGACGCTGACAACATCTCAAAACGAAACGAAAGCATGACCAAAAAACGCATCGAAATTATCAGAAATATTGTCGATTTTAAAAGCTTAAAAATTTCAGTCTTTGTAGTGGTTGTTTTTCCTTTCTATAATCATTTTCTTTACTCATCGCTTTTCCTTAGCTCGGCTCTTGTCCCATTTTCATACTTGTTCTTCGCATTTTCCTCGGGTGCTTACTGCTTTTCTGCGCCTGCAATCAGAATAGACCCAAATAAAGCAAATATGTTTAGATATATGAAAAGTGAGATCGGGTGGAGTGAGTGGCAGGAAAAGTAGGGAGAGGAGGTTCGTGTGGGTTGTCTTACATGGGCACTCAACTTACATTTACATTTTAACTAGAAACTTTAGAAGCGAGCAAATATGGTAAGCACGAACACGAAAATGTACAATTTGCGGTGGGCGGTGGCCACGCCCTCCGTCGCCGACGACAAGAACTCAAAGCTGTACAAGTACTCTGGGCAGCGGCAACAACAACAAGTTGTGAGGCGCATCATCAGCAGGAGCAGCGGCCGAAAAGGGGGGAGGCGGGGGATGGACAAAGGACATTTTTGGTTAGATTTCGTCAGGGTCTACTTCTGCTAGAACTACAACTACTGGTTATGCGGGGACAGTTGATGATGGGTGGGTGTACTGCGAAAAAGCACTTCTAAAATCATGAATTTTATATTCCAAGTACATTTAATAATGCATCGATTCGAAATGTTTCCAAAAAGTGTCTCAAAGTATGCAGTTTATAAAGTCTTCATTTTATCCCGACGACAATTAACAATTTCGTCATTGATTTTTTAACTTTACTTTTACTTTTCAGCCTTTAATAACTTATTCATGACTTGGGAATTTTTTTTGCAGTACTCTGATTATGCAGGGACCAAAGATAGCATGTGTTGTCCTATTTTGTGGGACTCAAGGATACTCACTTCTGGGTCAGACCAAAGCATCGTTGCTGAACACATCATTCACATGCTTTCCATTGCTGCTGATTGGTCCTGTTTTGTCCTTGAGGCCGCATTGCTAATAAGTGGAAAGGCGAGAGGAAGGGGGAGAAACACTTAGATCTCTGCCAGCGAATTACAAAATAATTAAAACTCAAAAGCCACCCCGCACCTGATGCCGAAAAATTAATTAAAACAATTAACGGCAGCTGGCGCCCAAGCCGAAATATAATTCGCAGGATACACACCTCCTGTTTGGCCTGCCACTGCTTCATGGCCGATTTGTATTTCTCGAACTCGTTGCACCAGTGCGAGTAGATTTTCTGGTAGTCCTGCTTCTGCGACGGCGGCGAGCATCTGAATGGGAAAAGCGAACAATAAGTTTCTGACATTTCGCGGAAATTAGGCTTGGAGAGAGAGGGGTGGGAAATCACGTGTCGGCAGCGCTGCCAAGTCAGATAATTTCCTTTTCCAACATAGCTTTATTCCAATATTATTATTGTAGCAACTTCTTGGAACCTGGCGTCAATGTTCTGACTCTATTAAGGCACTTCTTAATCGACAAAAAGAAGGTGAATGAACTTGAATATTCAAATATTCATGATACTCAGAAATGCCTAATTTATTATTGTCTGATTTTCCTGGAATAGTTTTAGTTCATTAAATGAATTGAAATTTAGATTGAATTTTGATTAAAATTTCTAATAATACTTTCCAAAACTCTGTTCACATATATTTAGCTACAATTCTCTAAAAATCTGCATTCAAATTTAGAAATGTATTTTTTTGTAATTTTTTTGATGTTAGATGTTGCAGAAATTCAAAAAAACTAAGAAATGTCCCAAGGCTGAACTTCTAAACTCCATAACTCAACTTATCTTAATCGGATTTTCAAGTGGCATACCTCTAAATGTTTGTGGCGCAACTCTCTAAAAATCTGCATTCAAATTAAAAAATTTTTTTTTTCAAAATTTTTTTGTAATTTTTTTGATGTTGCAGAAATTCAAAAAAACTAAGAAATGTCCCAAGGTTGAACTTGTAAACTCCATAACTCAACTTATCTTAATCGGATTTTAAAGTGGCATACCTCTAAATCTTTGTGGCGCAATTCTCTAAAAATCTGCATTCAAATTTAAAAATTTATTTTTTCAAAATTTTTTTGTAATTTTTTTGATGTTAGATGTTGCAGAAATTCACAAAACTAAGAAATGTCCCAAGGCTGAACTTCTAAACTCCATAACTCAACTTATCTTAATCGGATTTTGAAGTGGCATACCTCTAAATGTTTGTGGCGCAACTCTCTAAAAATCTGCATTCAAATTTAAAAATTTATTTTTTCAAAATTTTTTTGTAATTTTTTTGATGTTAGATGATGCAGAAATTCAAAAAAACTAAGAAATGTCCCAAGGCTGAACTTCTAAACTCCATAACTCAACTTTTCCTAATCGGATTTTGAAGTGGCATACCTCTAAATCTTTGTAGCGCAACTCTCTAAAAATCTGCATTCAAATTTAAAAATTTATTTTTTCAAAATTTTTTTTTAATTTTTTTGATGTGAGATGTTGCAGAATTTCAAAAAAACTAAGAAATGTCCCAAGGCTGAACTTCTAAACTCCATAACTCAACTTATCTTAATCGGATTTTAAAGTGGCATACCTCTAAATCTTTGTGGCGCAATTCTCTAAAAATCTGCATTCAAATTTAAAAATTTATTTTTTCAAAATTTTTTTGTAATTTTTTTGATGTTAGATGTTGCAGAAATTCACAAAACTAAGAAATGTCCCAAGGCTGAACTTCTAAACTCCATAACTCAACTTATCTTAATCGGATTTTGAAGTGGCATACCTCTAAATGTTTGTGGCGCAACTCTCTAAAAATCTGCATTCAAATTTAAAAATTTATTTTTTCAAAATTTTTTTGTAATTTTTTTGATGTTAGATGTTGCAGAAATTCACAAAACTAAGAAATGTCCCAAGGCTGAACTTCTAAACTCCATAACTCAACTTATCTTAATCGGATTTTGAAGTGGCATACCTCTAAATGTTTGTGGCGCAACTCTCTAAAAATCTGCATTCAAATTTAAAAATTTATTTTTTCAAAATTTTTTTTTAATTTTTTTGATGTGAGATGTTGCAGAATTTCAAAAAAACTAAGAAATGTCCCAAGGCTGAACTTCTAAACTCCATAACTCAACTTATCTTAATCGGATTTTCAAGTGGCATACCTCTAAATGTTTCTGGCGCAATTCTCTAAAAATCTGCATTTAAATTTAGAAATTTATTTTTTCAAAACTTTTTTTGGAATTTTTCTGAAATCTGTAATTTTTCCCAAAGCTGAAGAGTTACTTGAATGTATTTTATGAGTGACTTCTCCAAGCCCAGTCGGCACCACTGGCCACATCCCTTGTGACTCCCGAGCTGACTCACCTGTGGGCGTCCACGGTGACGCCGTAGCTGCAGAGCAGGGTGCCGTCCAAGTAGCTGTCGTAGCGGCCGCCGTCGCCCTCGTTCACCGCCAGGAGGACCAGGCCGCCCTCGTTGGTGTCGATGTATTTGGTGGGGGTGTAGCGGACCTCGTAGCTGCCAGAGAGAGATGGGTGATGGGAGAGATATAGACAGATGTAGAGAGATGGCTTTTCAGATGGCTGCTGCGATAGCGCAGGGGATTTTCCAATTTCTATTCGCATTGAGGACGCACAATAAAAATCAATATAGAGTGTGTGCGCGAGACACACAGACTTCGACTTCAGCTTCGACTGCGTCGACTATTCGGTTGGAAAGTTGAAAGTTTTTCCATTACTTGGCCAACGCCAAAAAGCAGACTAGGAGCGCATTTTAAAGTGTCAATTTACCGCAGCATTGGCACGGCTAAGTGAGATGAAGCGGCGTATCGCTTACACATTTTCCCCGCCATTATTCGCTTTCAATTTTCCCTGAGATCTGCGATTCGGATAAGCGGGAATGGTGTTGGGTATTCCCCAAAGAAGAACTCCAAATACAATGCTCTTCGCGCTTTAAACTTATTTGCTTGAAACTTTCCCAATTGTTGAAACTGATGTGTTTGGTGCAGCACCTCACGAATCAGTGTTATATTTGCAAATGAATTGCTTTTCATTGCCTCATATCATATTACGGAAGTAGTGAAGTAGTTTCGGAATCAACATAAAATAGCTAAGGAACCACATAATCTTTCAGCAATACTCACCGTCCTTTTTCGGTGGAGTGGTGGTACCAGCGCGTCTGCTTCTTCCTCAGCACTTCCGGCATTTTGACAAAGCAGGAGAGGTGCAGGGTTTGGCCGTAGGAGGAGGTGACCTTCTTGCGCAGCACACTGGTGTCGCAGATCCCGGACGTCTCGTTGGCCACATCCTGCAGCAGACCCAGCTGGTAGGGTCGGCAGGCATTGACGTCCTTGTCCCAGCCGCAGTAGGGATCCGAGACGCAGCGGAAGCAGCTGTCGTAGCGGCGGGCGCACATGGCAATGTCGATCTGCTTCACCTGGTGATCGGTGGCCACGTACAGGGATCCTGTCTTCTGGCTGAGGGTCATCTCCCGGATGGGCTCGTTGTGCGGCGAGGCCTCGAATATGTCCACCAGGTTCGAGTGCCGCTGGCCGTAGTGCATGAACTGCACTATCTTGTAGATGTGACCAGACGTCGTGGCCACAAAGTACACTAGGAACTCCTGGTTCAGCTTGTCGATCCGTATCCTGCGGCAAAAAGGATGGGGCAAGAAAAAAAAGACAAGAATAGCAGCGTCAGTGGAAAGCGCTTAGCTGAAAACACATCCTGCGGCACTTTGTTCACAAGTTCCGGCCAAGACAAAACATTTTTCGCTGCCAGAACAACTGACAGCACACAGCCAGCCCAGGATGCTGTGCACTGAGAGAAAAACAAATGGGATTTCAACATTGCGAGCTAAGTAAATCGTAATTGCACAACTAATACTAATCAGAGTGTTCAATAGAACGCTGCATAATTTTAAAGGTAAATTTGAGAGGTTAGCAAGCTTTGTAAGTCATTTTTAGACTCTTAACTTTTTAAAATTTTATTAAATTAAAATATGTTTAGTTATTTCCAGATGTGTAAGCTAGTTTTTGATAAATGCAATTACTTAATTTGATTTATTTAGGAAGTTAAACCTCACGAGCTGAAGTCCTGAAGTTCCTGCGGTTCATGCTCTAAGCAAATTATTTGTAATTAGTTCTTAAATTGGTTTATTTTTACTATCAGTGCACCCATACATTGGACCGACGAGTGTCAACAAGGATACGGATCACCCGTTCTCCCAGGCTCCCGGTTCCTGGCTCCTTGCCAGACCGACAGTCCACTGGCAAGTGGCATGTGGCAACTGGCTGGCGGCGCTAATGAATACAGTTCTCACTTACTTGTCCACCACCAGCTTGGTGAGTATGACGTCCCGCTTGAAGAAGACCGGATTGCCAAATTCATGATCGACCGCCTTGTCCATTAGCGGATGTTTGCGAATGAAATTCAGCACGGAGTCCGGCAGCGTGCCGGTGTCGTTGTGGCAAGTGCCAGGACGTGGCTCCGGCACTTTGGAGTTCAGCACGGGCAGCCAGGCGCTGTTCGAGGTGGCCTGCTCCTTGAATTTGCCTGGATGGATGGAGGGAGATGGGGAATCAGTACGGAGTTGAGTGCCGGAGAATGCTGCTCTTAATTTATGTGTGTCAGTACTGCGCGCCAGCTGATTTGTGGCACTCGCACTCGGTAAATAAAAAATACGATTTAAGAGACACGAACAGTGCTTTAATGTTCATGCAACAACGCGGCAATCGGATGGTAATATTAAAAAACTCTTTCTGCCGCACATGCGAAAAAAACTTTTTTTTAAACTTTCTTTAGCGTAAAAACATTATGATATAGACAGCCCATTTACATGTATAAAATCTAAAAGAAAACCTTTTTTCTACAGCCCTGCAAGTTGACATTTTTTCGCTTAATCTCCCAGTGTTCCCTGTGTATATTTGCATATTATAATTTTCAGATTCCCGCAAGAGCAGTATTACGCGGAAAACATGGAATACAATTTAAGAATCACATTCTGGCCTTCGAGAGCGGCTCCATAATCGTTTGTGGCCATAATTAATTGCTGTGGCTTTCCACATTTTTATTTTTTTTATCACACTCGCCACTGTCTGTGCAACATGCCCGCAAACTTTTCGTAATGAATTTTAAGTGTATGCCAGATTTTTTGCACCACTTTGCCCGGTGGCAGTGTCTGTGTGGCAGGATCTGTCTGCCCGATTGTCTGCCTGTCAGTCTTGGCACCGTTCCACACTTGCAGCCGCAGCCCGACTTTATGGTGTTAATGAACTTTCCGGGGCAAGTTGGGTTGAGCAGAGTGTTGACTGTACTCATTACTTGAACCGGAGGTCCTGCAGTTAAAGAAGTTCAACTTGAATGCGCGACAGCGCGTCTGTTTCCCTGAAAAAAGTGGGCGAGGGTGGGCGTTGTGTCTGCCACCATCAATTCAATGCGCACCATTTAACGCTCAAATTCCAGGGAAAAGGCCTCCACCTGTGCGCGTAATTCCATCCGCAACCGTCGCCGGAGAAAAGGAATCCCCCCGAAGAATTATGGACAGTGCAATAAATCACACGAGCATCTCCACCACCCACACACACACCGACCTATGTATATCTACAGTGAATACTCACCGTCGAAGGCCGCATTGATGTCCCGGATGTCGTAGCTGCACACAGCCGATCCAATCAGACCATTCGTATTCGTTGTAAACGTGGCATAGAACTTGGTATCGTCCTTTGGCATCTTGTAGACCGACTGTATCTCGTTGAAGTAGAAGGGAAACTCGCTGGAGATGCTGCAGTTCATCCGCGCCTTCAGATACGTGGCCCAATTCTGGTTGATCAAGTACTTTCCACCGCGGTCGCTCTTGCACACCCGAGCCACTCGGGAGTAGACAGCTTTTCCGCAATTTATGTACTCCACGGCATGTTCGCGGAAGAAGAAGTACACAAATTCACCAATCTCAAAGGAGCCCACGAAGTTGGGTTCTGAAAAGGAAGCGAAGTGTATGGATTTCAGGGATCGAAAGCTGATCATTACATTCAGGTGAGCATTCTACATGTCTCGTTACAATTTGAATGTTCTTCTTATTGCTGTAGAGCAAAAGGCGATTTATGGCCACTACTTACTGTCCAGCAGCTTGGAGTCGTATTTCACGGTTCTCTTGAAGTTGGCCAACTTGCCGCCATCCGTCAGGTTGTACAGGTCCGATCGGAATATGACGGAATCCGCCTTGGTGAACTCTGCATTCGTGCCGGCGTACTGCATTAGGGGGGGTTGGAGGGAAATGGAACAGACATTGTTAGCAAAGGGGCAACTGTTGATAAGGCTCGAACATCACGCATACGCCCAGTAAGCCATGGCACGCACGCACACAATTACGCACAAAGTGTACGCACGTGCCTCCCTCTCTGAGTGAACCCATGTATGTACATGTGCTCATGTGTGTGTGTGCGTGTGTGTGCGTGTGTGTGCGTGTGTGTGCGTGAGTATGCGTGTGTTTCTGTGCCTTGTTCTCTAATTTAATTTCAGCTGCTTTATTGCTGCCTTTCTCTGTTTTTGCCGTCTTTAAAATTTTCTTGCCCCGTCCCAAACACAACTTTGCCAACTTCCTCCTTCGTTGGGCCCCGCTTTACTTTTGTAATTTTATTACAATTGACATTTTTCTTTTTATTTGCGCCTTCCTTTATCCGTACTTTTATTCCACTTCCGCTTTTCGGGTCGAACTTACCAGGGCGGGCAGGCCGAAGGGATTTCCGTTCTCCACATAGACGGCGGTTGAGTTGTCAGCAGGATCGTAGGGACACTTGCCAATGCCCAGGCCAATGCCGGGCACGTACTGGGATCTGGGTAAATGTGTTAAGTTTGCCTGGGGGTCAAATGAGGCGGTTCGGAAGCGGGTGGGTTAAGGAGGGTGGAAGGGAGAAATCAAACGAACGAAAAGCGCATTAGTTGACTTTAATTTTGGTCGCCCGCTGGGCTGAAATGAACTTCAAAAACTTGACTGACATTCACAATTAGGCACATTGATGAAGTCGCTGGCAAACCCTTTTTTCCTACATTGCGAACGAAGGATTTTAATGTAAGCCCAAGAGTTTTGAAATTCATTTCTTCACTATTTAAGGTGCTTGTTCTTGAAGGCAGTCCTTAAAATCGAACAATTTTGCCATCTCCTTTGTGTACTTACGTTTATTACGTAATCCTTGGGATTGTGGGCGTTGGTCCCGCAAACATATAGCTTCTGGCCATTGAAGTTCATCGGCTGGATGACCCTTATGTGATTTCGGCATTCCACCTTCTTGTCAAGCGCCAGAAAATGCAATTGCATTCGATTTGAGTTTTTGTTTTGTTTTGTGTAATTGTAATAAATGTTAGGAAATAATAGCCGTAAGGAAATCATATGGTGGTTTTTTTGTGGGTTTGTGGGTTTGTGGTTTCGAAATGCAAATGGAAATAAAACGGACAGGACGGTGGCATGAGTTAAGTTCACATATTCGTTGATATCGATAGAAAATTTTGCACATGCATGGGAAGGATTTTAATGCCTATAGAAATTGACGGCCCACTCACCTCCCGTTTTCCCTTGGACACACAATTCAGGATATCCGATCCGGTGGGCTCCAATATGAGTACATCGCGCTGGAAGCATGAGAAATAGCATTGAGTTTAAATTTATGTTGGCCAAGTTTATTGAAAGCGTGCTGGAATGCGTGCCCGCGAATGGAGCATGTTCCACCGAGAGCACGCGCCAGAATTTTTTGGTACACTCGCATGTCGCGTTTTCATCCCGATTGTGTTCTGTATGTGGCGCACGTTGGACATTTGTTTATTTAATTCGATTCGTTCTTCTTTTTCCTTTTTGTTGCGGCACTAGAATCGACAAGGAATCTGCTTTCGGTGTTTGTATTGCTGCAAATACTTTTGCCTAAGTGAAAGCCACAAATCAATGGCGGGGGAGCAAAAGCCATCGACTGACAATTTTTATGCTTGACATATAGACACAATATCCGGTGGCTCTGTGGATGCACTTTCCACTTTTATTTCCACTTGCCCCAAGTGTCAGTCCCTTTGGCCGGCGTATAAGGTCTAAGTGCTGGGACTCGACTTGAAATGCCACTCCTTCTGCCCGCCGCTCGCCCAGAAGTCAGCACAAATAATTGCTGTTAAAAGCATTTGCTGCGTCTCAGGAGGTGGCGATAGTGCACAGGACCTGGACTTGGACTTGGATTCGGACTGCAGCTTCCAAGGACGAAAAAAGCGGCGGAAAACGGTTGAACGGACAGAGGCGGATATTGGTAGTTGAAGATGGAATCATTAAAGACCAATTGCGAGCTGTCAGTGACAAGTTGGTCACTCAGAAATGCAAAGGGTGGGTTTTAGGGCGTTTCTCTTATCTGCTATCCTGCTATCAATGGCCCGTGAATTTATCGATTTCAATATCCAAATGTAACCAGGCTGTGTGCTTATGGAAAGGCTTTACTACCAACAAATTGACTACCATTAAAGGGGTACTTGTATGTTTAAATCAATAACTTTCGGCCTAGAGCAGAATGGAATAGCTTACAAAGTGGTTGTAGTAACCTTTACTTTTATGTATTTGTAGTGGAGTCGAGCATTTCTTACCTCACAAATCGATTGGCTGATGTTGCGCAGATTGAGCCGAAATATGCGATCCCTGCAAGAGAAAGGGCAAATAAATGAATTAGCATGGTAAAGAGGAAAACTTTGTCATCCCCCGGCACTCGAGTTAATCCCCGGGTCGTGCCCCCCCATGCGATAAGTTAATGCCACACCAGTTGCCAGTTGGCAGTTGCCCCGTCTGTCTGGCCCCGGGAAACTTCAGCTCATTGACATTTTTTCTGTGCCCCTGCGTTCATCTGGTTTGAAAAATCGTTGTCAGCCGCACACACCTGCTGTGCACCGGGCTGTCGGGCTGTCGAGTTGTCGGGCCTGCCAGCGTACTTATTGCAGTCAGTGTGCCCTGATTGATTGATACGTCGAATGTGGCAATATTGCCTGCCAGACAGAACAGAACAGAACAGAACAGAACTTTAAGCGGCAGCGGCGGCCCATCTCTCGCCGTTTTCCGGCCACTCGAAACTTTTGTGGCGCCGTGGAAAACAAAAGGAAAACGCAAAGGGGCAGCGGCGGTCTAAAGTGTGTTTTATGTAGTTACTGGCAGAGTTTTTGGTAGCTTTCCCCCGACAACTGCGAGACCATTAATCTTCATTTCCCTGCCGGCTCTAGGAGCCCCGCATTCGCTGACGAGAGCCGCCAGCTGTGGTTGCGTGGGGCTGTTCGCTGGGATCGGTGCCTCTCAAGTCAAGTGGTAATTTTGGTTACTTTGTTTGCCCGCTCTTAGGCGCAACCCCTACCGCCATTTTCCTACGGTTTTTCCGGACTCCTCCCCCCGGCGACCACAAAACTGTGAAAATGCGGCCGTGTTCAACTTGCCGCAGACAAATGAGCAGACGGGTGCGCTCCCTGTCAAATTGCAGAGCCGAGAACCTTCAGACTTTGCCCCCTCGTCGGTGGCATTAATTCATAATTATGTATGCCGACAGTGTGGCCAAGAGCTTGCTGGAAATATGAAATATGCAGCCCCAAATGCGTTCGGTTTGCCAAGTAGGGAGCCACATGCTGTCTCAAGCGGAACTTTCTAATTGTCTGCAACCGGAAAAGAAAGTTTCCCCAAATTATGGCATATTTTTCCACATTAAAAAGGTCTCACTAAGCCCTAAATATTTATTACGGTCAGCTGAAAACTATTTGTATTAATAATGCATTGACCTGTTTCCCGGTAAATGGCTGGTACAACCGAAAATAATGTGTAACTTTCCAATTCATTTTCATATTATTCTCTCAGGCTGATGAATATTTAACATTTTTCAAATTTCCCAAATACCCATGGTATACTTACATGGCGCCCACATATAGCGCATTGTTGTGCTCATCCATGTAGAAAGTCTTGTAGTGCAGCGGCCCGCAACTGAAGTCCTGCACATGTTCTGTAAAATATGGAGGAAAGACGGTAATGAGTATACGCACCGTGTACATTGATTAACAAAAGTTGAGACAGTTAATTAAAGCCTAATGAAACTGTCAGCGGCAGTTGGGAGGGCCAAAAAAGCGAAACGAACTAATTAAACTATTATAATTTCGGCTCAACAAACACAAAGTTAATTTATGGGGGCCTGAGTAAATACAACAGAGCATAAGGACACGGCCCCATCCTCATCCGCATCCTCATCATCGTCCTCGTCCTCGTCCATGTCCTTGCACATTTGACACTGACAGTGTCACGTACTCCAGCCGGCGATGTCACGTGCTCCAAGCCGAAGCTCGGACCCAAAAAAAAAAATAACACAAGTCGAAAAAGTTGCACCGCTGTCAATGTCATTAACAAAAGATTGAGGCATTTAGCTGAAATTTTTACGACATTAAGTTGTCAACTAATTTGGCACAATTAGTGAAACAACAAGAACACAGTGCACACAAACAAACCCAGTGAGAAGCACAGAAACACAAACACAGAGAGACGCACACACACACTAACACATACACAGCAGGACAAAAGAAAGGACAGTGGGCAAGGACAACTTTTTATTTTTGGGCAAAGCCCAAGCAAATCCTTTGATGGCCACGCTAAGAGTCATTTGTGCTGACTTGGTCGGCTCCTTTGTCCTTCGTCCTTTGGCCTCTCGCTCTGGTCATTGACAACCCTAATGGCCGGCCAACAACAATAGCAGTTAGAAAAGTGATTTCCATAATAATGCATAATGAGTGATAGATACGGAACTGCCTGTGACCTCATGCAAATTAGCCCTCATTTCGACTGTGTCGCATTTTTTGCACAATTTTCCCCGAAATATCCAGGAGTTTTGTTTTGTTTCCTAAACACAAATTATTCCATTAGTTTTAATGGCTGTTTTATCAAGAGTATCTATGCTTTGAGAAGGTCACATCTGAATTATGAAAAATAATTATTTCCATAGCTAAAAATACCGAAAGCGGCTGTGAATCAAAAATCATTTAATATTCTGATATTGATATTGAACTAGCAGCAATTTCATTCAAATTTCAGTCGCTTTTAAGATGAGTTTCTTCAGGACATTGAACTTTGGCATTACACGACGAACTTCGACTGCGAAGTCAAATCAATCAAATTGCGAGTGTAGTCCCAATTTAATTAAAATTCGTCCATCTTCATCCCACGACATAATTCGGGTGCCCATACAGGTCGTGCTTTCCGACAAGTACAATAAGGTAACTTATGGTGAATCCGTGTTCACAGAGTCATGACAATAGATCTTGATAGGCTTTGGCCTTCACAGTGGAGGAACGCCAGCGCCTGTGTATCCATGGACTCATGCCGGCCTGCGTTCGAACCTACGATGAGCAGATGCTGGCCATCGAGTCCAACTTCCACTCCTTTGAATCCAATGTGGGCAGGTATCGCTATTTGAGGGCCCTGCGCCAGGGATACGAGCGACTGTACTTCCAGTTCGTGTCGAAGAACGTGAACGTGGTGCTACCCATTATCTACACGCCCACGGTGGGCTTGGCGTGCACTGTTTACGGAATGTTGTACCGAGGCATGACCGGCATTCATATCAACAAGCATGATCGAGGCCACATGAAGGAGATCCTGGCCAACTGGCCGATGAGTAGGGAGGTGAAAGCCATCTGTGTGACCGACGGCCAGCGTATCCTGGGACTGGGCGACCTGGGAGCCAATGGCATGGGCATAACCGTGGGAAAAATGGAACTTTACACAGCTCTGGCCGGAATTCCGCCGAGTATGTTGTTGCCAGTTTGCCTGGATGTGGGCACAAACAACAAATCGCTTCACGAGGATCCCCTGTACATCGGTCTACGGGATGAGCGTTTGCAGGGCGATGAGTACGTGTGCTTTGTGGATGAGTTCATGGAGGCAGTGGTATCCACCTTTGGCAGTCAGACGCTCATCCACTTCGAGGACTTTGCGACACCCAATGCCTTTATGTTTCTGAACAGGTATCAGCATTGCTACTGTCATTTCAATGACGACATTCAGGGCACTGCCGCCGTGGGTTTGGGAGGATTGCTGGGCATCCAGAGGATCACCAAGAAGCCGCTGGAGGAGCACGTCATTGTCTTTGCGGGAGCAGGCAGCGCAGCCATGGGCATCGCCAGTCTGCTTAAAACGGAGCTGATATCTAGGGGTCTCTCCGAGGCTGATGCCGCCAAAAACATATATTTTTACGACCAAGATGGTTTGCTGACCACATCGAGGAAGAGCATACCGGATCTTCTAAGCATTTTCGCCAAGAACATGAAGGAAACGAAGTCCCTAGAGACGTTGGTCGAGCAAGTAAAGCCCTCAATTATAATGGGTGCCACCTCAGCACCTGGACTTTTCACAGAGAAAATAATTCGCACCATGGCAGCGAATCACGAGCGTCCTGGCATCTTTGCCTTCTCCAATCCCACCATTAAATCGGAGTGCACTGCCGAACAGGCCTACAAGTTCTCAGATGTAAGTGTTCTAATCAGATGCAGAAAATTCCCATTTTATTTTTTACATCTTGTCCAGGGAAAGGCTATATATTCGGCTGGATCTCCTTTCCCGCCCGTGGAGTTCAATGGCAAAAGGCTGACTCCTGGTCAAGCCAACAACTGCTTTGCTTTTCCCGGCTTGGTTTTGGGCACCATGACGGTTTTGGCCACTCGAATGCCAGACGAGATATTCCTGTTATGCGCCCATGAGCTCGCTAAATTCCCAACAAACGAGGACTTACAGAGTGGACGTATCTATCCCCTGGTGAAGCAGGCCAATGAAGTGGCCTATAAAATCGGCGTGAAAGCAGCCAAGTATCTGATAGAAAATGGTGAGAGCCTACCAATATTCCTATATAATCTTTTTAAATTAATCCTTTGAAACCTATTAGGTTACGCCAAGCGCACTTTAGATCCGGATGATGTTGAGGAGTATATCAAAAATAATTGTTATAAGCTGAACTATGGAAGTTCGCTGGCTGAGACATGGGCGTATCCAAAGATGAAGCCGCATCCAAGTACAGCGGGCCATGGAAAGAAAGATCAACAGAAAAAGTAGGCGTTCAGGCAAACATTTACAATTATCTCAAAATTTCCAGATGAAAAGGTGTCCATAAAATTTCGGAGTTACACAACACATTTTAGCCATGGAATTTCGCCGATTGCAGCCATTGCTGCGCCTTTCATCACGGCCTCTTCTGAGCTTCTGCAGGCAGGTCAGCGTTTATGATGACGAAATGGATCAAGTAATGAGACCTAACTGGCACGTCATTATGAATGGAAAGTACAATAAGGTGTGTAAGGATAGGATCCCTATGCATTGAATGCCCAAAACTAATTGCTACATGCCTCGAATAGGGTCTTGCCTTCAGCATCAGGGAGCGGCAACGTCTGGGCATCATGGGATTGATGCCCTGCTCCGTGCGCTCCATGGATGATCAGATGAATGCAGCCCAGGCGAACTTTGATGCCAGACCCTCCAATATGGCCCGATTTGCATACTTGAGTGCACTCCACAATCGACACCGACGACTGTACTACCGGTTCATCAAGGAAAATATCGAGAGAGCGCTGCCCATTGTTTATACACCAACGGTGGGTGATGTGGTGAACGCCTACGGACTGAACTTCCAGCAGGCCATCAGCCTGTTCATCAGCATTCACGACAAGGGCCACATCCGGGATCTAATGCACAACTGGGTGGATGAGGGCGTGAAGGCCATCTGTGTGACCGATGGCGGAAGGGTCCTGGGTCTCGGAGACATGGGAGCCAATGCCATGGGCATTAGTTTGGGAAAATTGGTTCTATACACGGCATTGGGCAGCATTCCGCCGAGCACACTTATGCCCGTTTGCCTGGACGTGGGTACCGATAATCAGTCCCTGCTGCAGGATCCCCTCTATGTGGGGGCACGAATTCCGCGGGTAAAGGGACCGGAGTACGATGAACTGGTGGATGAATTTATGGAGTCGGTGGTTAAATGCTTCGGACACAGCACCTTTATTCACTTCGAGGACTTTGCCACTCCCAATGCCTTGAAGTTCTTGGATAAATACAGGAACGATTACTGTTGCTTCAACGATGACATCCAGGGGACGGGCGCCACTGGTCTGGCCGCGTTCATCAACGTGGAGCGCATCACTGGCCGTAAATTGGAGGACACCATATTCCTCTTCGTGGGAGCTGGGAGTGCGGCACTGGGAATCGCCAATATGTTGGCCATGGAACTGGAGGTACGCGGCATTCCTACCGAGGAGACAACCAAAAACATCTACCTGATGGATCTGAATGGTTTGTTAACCCACGAGTCGCCCAATCCACCCGAGCTAGGGAAAATATTTATTAAGTCCATGGAGCCCATGAAGGATCTTTTGGCCGTGCTGGAGAAGCTGAAGCCGTCCGTACTTGTCGGAGCCACTGGCGTGGGTGGAATTTTCAACGAAGAAGTGCTGAAAACTATGGCAAAAAATCACGAACGTCCTGCAATTTTTCCCCTCTCAAATCCAACTGCCAATTCGGAATGCACCGCCGAACAGGCCTTTACACACACTGAGGTTAGATTGAGTATCTGAGGGGTATGTCCTCTAGTTATGTGAGACCTATGTTTTGTATATTATACAGGGTCGTGTCCTCTTCGGTTCCGGATCGCCCTTTCCGCCAGTGGTCATCAATGGCAAAAGATATCAGCCCTCGCAGGCCAACAACTGTCTGACTTTTCCGGGCATCGCACTGGCTGCCATTGCGGCAAAGGCCCGATGTCTGCCAAATGCCGTATTTTCGGTAGTGTCGCATGAACTGGCCAGGAATACACCGCAGGAGCTGCTGGACGAGGGCATCCTGTTTCCGCCCATCAAGGATGCAAACAGTGTGGCCTTCAATGTGGGCGTAGCGATGACTCAGTATCTATTTGATAATGGTAAGAAATCGCGCGTCCCAAAAACTGCGCCCAAACGAACGCGGTCTTTGCTCATGTTTGATTGCATCCTGTGCTCTTCCAGATCTTTCGAATATCTACCCAAAGCCCGACGATGTCTGTGAGTTCGTCAAGAGCCGTCTGTATAAATTCGAGTACCGAAACTCACTGCCAACTACTTGGGATTATCCCGAGCAACCGCCGACACCCAAAGCCAGACCCAAGTCCACGCCCAAGAAAAAAAGCACGGAGTAAACTTGGCCGGGATTCCTTTATATCGAGCACTACTGACCTGATTTTCAGCTGAGCGGGAGCCGTGTGTGTAATTAGTTGCAGATGCAAGAATACAAGGACCTACATACACCGAGGCACATACAAAGTGGCACGATAAATGCCCGACATTTTAACGTTATTATTGTCCTGTCAACGGGAAGCCAGTTGACATGCTCGTGCGCCTGTGTGTGTGTGTGTGTATCCAGCTGATTTGCATATAAAATAGGACGAAATGTCTGCTCACCAAAAATGTCAATCAATTTCTTAGCCTCCTTTGCGCTCCTTTTAGACATTTTTTCTCTTTTTTTTGGGGGGGCAAGAGTGAGGCGAGTGAGACGAGAGGACGTGCATGCATTAAAAAGCAATTGGTGTTAAAAGAGCAGTCAGGCGGCAGTCGCACGTTGTCTGCTTGTCTATCAGTTTGGCATTGGCATGTGCCCCACCCAGTCCTCCGACTGCTCCTCGGTTTCCCTACGAGCGGAGAGCTTTCCTCGGGAAACTTGCCCCTAGCCGCCCCAAGCCAAGGAAGCCCCGGGAAAAAGTGGAAGCAACAGAAATGCGAAATCATTTCCCTCGACTGACAGCTGTCAAAATATTTGCTCTCTGTCGATGGCTGCGTGGCTTCTGCCGCTGCGTGTGTCCTTGTCCTCTGTAAATTTCATTTTAATATTCATTACTTCACACTTAACACTCGGCGAGGAACCCCATGTTGACCACATTCGGCTCTTAAATCGATGGCGCTGCGTCTGGGCGACGCGAAAAACTTAAGTTCAGACTTAAGGCTAAAAAGAGATCTTGAGGCGACGGTCGGTTTCGTTACGGTTAGCCTGGCTTATGGAATTTAATTGGCCATAAAAATGTATGCGGCTTGTTGAACGTGGCAAGCTGTAGCCGTAAATCGTAAATTTCCCTCATGCCAGGCTTCCGCATCGATTTACGCCCCACGATAGGGCTCTAAATTTAAATGCCAGCGGCAAAGGTTAAGGGTTTTCCTTCTTTTTTTCCCCCTGCTCAGGGATAAAGATTATATGATGCGTCAGCATATAAATTATAGGCCAGATAAACCAGATAAAAGGCAGCTAAACAAAGTCAGTTGAAGGGAAACTTAAGGTTTTTATGTTTTATGTTTATAAGCACGTTTAACTCGGTTATAAAATGACAAATAAATTGCAAAAGGCAATGAATAGTATTGGATATTGTGGGCTTTACAGCTGAGTAACAAGATAAATATTTATTCATTGACCTCAAAATATTTGCTTGGCTTTTCCTGATAAGTGCAAACCTATTTTAGTTAAATAAACGCTTTCAGTGCTTTTCCTGCGGTTAATTGAAGGTTTTTTTCTGTTCAGGCCCATATTTGAATTGGTTTTGCCTAAGCCTCAGTGTTATCTATCTGGCCAAGTCTAAGCCCCAAATGGGTCAAAGCCGAGGCCAGAAGTTGGGGGCCAAAGCTCACTTGACTGTGCTCAGTCGATAAGTAGCCCCAATAAACACAAAAGTCTACTCAGCTCGGCCTCTGTTGCTTTTCGCCGACCGCTACTTCATCTTTTTGAAGATTTTCATTTATCTGCTGGCCAAGATAAAACAGGCAGGCAGGCCAGAAATATAAGTAAGGAAGCAAAAAAATGCGGCAGAAAGCAAGAAAAAAAAGGAAGAGAAAGCGGCACTTAAATCCATTTAAGCGAATTTTTCAAGCATTAAATTTGCGTTTACGTTACGTATACTTAACTTCCAATGGCAACGGCAAATGTTGGGTGGCTGGGTGGCAAGGATGCGAGTGGTGGGGATGCTGGGGCGAAGGACGAAGGACGAAACTCTGAGCCTGGCAGCAGGTAAATGAAAAATTTGCCTCCACTTTCGTGGTGCGCGGCGTCCAAATGTATTTTGCATCATTTGTCTTAGCCAGGCCAAGGATCTCTTTTCCTATCTCTCCCACACCAAACACACACACACACACACGCACACACATACATACATACGCAGAAAACACCTGCCTTTGCATATGGTCACAGTTTTCGGTCCGACTTCTGTTTCACACTACCCATATGAAAATTGTGGTTGTACACACACACACACGCACGCACACATGGGAACGTTTTGTTTGGCTGCGACTTCCATTGTTGTGTTTTGCGGCCATGTAAATGCCCTGCCACGCCCACCTCCCGCCCACGCGCCGTGTCGCCCCGCATTGTTGTTGTTGCCCTTGTGGAGCATTTTTTCTTATCTCCACTTTGCATGCCGCACACTGTTTTCCCTCCGTTTCCTTTTCTTCTTTCCAGACGAACTGAGTCAGCACTTAATTTTTATTTGATTCTGTCTCAGTTGCGTTGCGGTTGCTTGACTTGGCTTCACTGTACTTCGCTACACTTCACTTCACTCCACCGTAGATTCACGCCAAGTGCCAGGCAGTGCGTAATTTTTTATGGCGTTAATTCAACAATGATTGGCTTTTCAACAGCCGAAAGGAAACCGAATCTGTGCTGCTATGCCAGTTCTTTTTGCTCTTAAGTCAAATGAAATATTCTGTGAATTTACGTTGAGTAATGTCTAGCAAATGGAAAATACAAAATTCTTTTGAGGGTTGTAACATTACTAAGCACTCGCTTCCTGCAAGAGCTGATGCAAAGGCAAAATAATCATCAGGAAGTACGTGTGCATTAAGTAGTTTTGCGGATCCGGAAATGTAAAGCTCGGGTCGTGGCCATGCATCAAGCTTATCTCGCTACCAGCAGCAGCAACTGTCGCACAAATCTGGAAGCCATTTGCCAATGTCCTGGACACCACCTGCATTCTGGCTACATATAAATATGTGTTCGATATTTAACAGCTTCCACTCGAATGCGCCAGCCAAGCGGACTGCGACTGCCGCTGGAGAAGGAGAAGGAGGTGAAGTAGATCCCGGAGTCGCCGATGCAGACGAGACATATGTATGCAAAGTGAACTGCCGCCGATGTTGGCCAGGCTTAAATTTGGCTCAGGCTTTAGGGCAAGTTTGCTCACAGAACTCGCCCGGAGGCCACGAACAAATAGCAGTCGCACTGTGCGAAAAAGTCGAGCAAATTAGCCGCACTGTCTATAAGATGTATTGCAATTATCTGATTTGCAATCATTGAAATTGTCACCATATTTGTTTGAGCTATTTTTATTTTTTGTTTTCGGTTAAGCAGCCATGCTTAATAAGCTTACCACGTTTGTGTGCGCCTTCGTGGCAGCCACAATAAACAATGCAATTGCCACGTAATGTTAATGTTAATGCACTACGGTTTTTCGTTCGGTGTGTGCTGTAAAAACCCAATAAGGTAAGCGGCAAACAGCCTGCCATGCCACTGTGTATGTGTGTGTGTGTGTGTGTGTGTTTGTGTAAGCACCTGGCATTTGTGTTGAGCACGTTCGTACCTTATGTGGGATTTAGCTTAGACTTCATTTTACTGGGCTGCGCTTTTGGTTTCATTCCGTGTGTCTCTTCAGGCCCTTCTTTATGCGAGTTTATGATGGCAGAGCCGTAAAAAAGCGAGAAAGAAATTGGGTACCGCGAGGAGGAAGGAGCGAGAGGGATAGAAACAGAGGGAGAGAGAGAGAGAGAGAGAGAGAGAGAGAGTGGTGTGGTATAGTAAAAATAAAGCCATAGACATGGCTGGCACCGGCACTTGAGTCCCCTGCAGGCTCACCAGGACTCTCCGATGTCCTGGATAGCCAGACAATGCTGTAATCTAGAAACACAAACGTGCAATTCTCTGCTCACTGCAAATGTGGTTGAGCACACAGTACGTATACGTAATATGTATGTGTGTGTTCACTTGCACACTCTCGACACGAAATGGCGTGGGAATATATTACAAGTTGGTTTACAAGGGAAGTGTGTCAGTGGCTTCGGGAGAAGCGAAGGAAAAAACAAGGATATGCCAACTTAAAGCACTCAACGAGCTACCATTTTTAAAGCCAAATCCCAGGGATATGCGCTGGGATGCCGAAACTGGTCAAAAATTGAGGCAACATAACTCAGCGGATGAGTTTTACGACTCCATCGGAAGCTGCATGTTGCAATTGCAGCAGCGAGAGGAAACATTAGCAAGTCTAGACACCTACGTCATGCGTCAGCAACACTGGCAAATGCGGCAGGGGAGTGCAGGGAGTGCGGCGGGGAGGGCCGAAAAAACGTGCAGCAGGACCAAAAGGATATGTACTCGAACGAAAGGAGCCGGAAAACTGAGAAAACTGAGGAAACTGGGAAAAAATGAGACGTCAAGCAGACGATGAAGTCGACGTGGTCTGACAGCCCGGCAGACAGCCAGCGAACTCCCAAAAGGATCTGAGCCAAAAAGGAGCAGAAACAGGACCACGACCACCAGGAGCATTTGAACCTCTTGGCTTGTTTAATATGCTGAAAAATACGCGTCTCGACTTACTTCTGCCCGAATTTTCACCGCCTTCCCTTTGCCCGCGCAGCTTCCTTTCCACTTGGAATGCATTTCCGAGTTTTACATTTCCATTTCAATGTAACGACACATGTATTTGTGGTAAAAGCTTATGGGGAAAACTGCGAGGGGAAGTGAGGCGGAGCGAAAAGGGGCGAGAAAAGCCGAAGAGTGGGCGGACTAAAATTTCCCTGGAATTCATCAAGCGATCTGCGCTCTGAAGCGTTTTTAATTACAGCGCATAATTGGAATTCGATATCTAACCACGTCGGGGTCACCACCTGAAATTACACCAAATACCAGTGCTACACCCCGGAGCATGTGGTTCGAGTGTGTGGCAAACTTTCCAGCACTATGATAAAAATTTTCCAATTACCAATTTTCCATATTTCAAAGCGCCCGCATAAATATTTATGGCGAAAATTTATGAAAACTAAACGTGAGAGCCACACAAAGTGTGGGTGCCTGGCATTCGCATAGCTGCAAGCCACACACGTCTAAGTACACTGGAAAAACAACTGACCGCTGATGTTTTAAGCCGAACAATGTCAAAAACGTATGCTTCTGGAAAGTGTCAGACTTAAACTTCAGCCAAGTTCCAAGTGCCCATTGAAATGGTATGTTAAGGACCTGAGCCTAAAATGCAGTTTCAATCTGGCGCAGAACTTGACTAGCTAGCCAAAATCTGAAATTGTGGCGAAAAATATATTTCGTGCAGTGCTCAAATATATTTACATTAAGCTGCGAGTGCAGTGGATAAGCTTTTACTATGTACATGGAATGGGGGA